TTTTTTCATTTGATATCTATACACATCTCCATCAACTGTGTAATGAAACTTCTTGTGTTATCATCTACCATCAGATCCTTCCACTTTAACTCTGTTGTCATCTGCTCTTTCTATAGCCATTTTGGAGTAAACACTACTAAGCTATAAGCACCTTCTTTTACAAGTCTATCTACAGCCTCATTCTCTTTGATTTCACTATATACTTTAATCTTATTTAAATAAACTCTCAGGTTTTTAAGTTTTATGGCTCATTGTATCTGTTCTAGTAAATATAAGTTTTTCTTTTTTAAAGTGTTCTGTAACTTTTCTAATCTTTGGAATGTTTAAATAGCTTGTATTGCTATGGTGCTATCGGTGTATACTTCTATTTTCTCATTGCAAGGAGCTGCTAGCAGAGCTGTTCAAATAGCTCTTAACTCTGCTCTTGTCAAGAATAGCCAGTTTTTAATTGCCCCTGTAAACTAGCTACCCTTTTTCTATTTTTTTTTCTTTCTGTATTGGAAAATACTACCCAGCTAAGATCTATTTTCTTCTTCTCAAGCTTATCCTCTGGGCTACACATAGAGCTATCTGTGTAAAAAGCAATCTTTGTTTTTCCTCTTAAATCTAACATTGCTTGTTTGATCTTTTCTGCTACCTTCCTATTCTCAAGAGCCAAATCTATTATTTCATCTTCTAATGAGTTAATTACTATGCTTTCTATTTGTAATTCCTGTTGAACCTCATTTCTTAAGCTTTCTGGAGTCTCTTGCCTTTGTGTATTTATACTTGTAAAGCAACTCAAAGGTATACAGAGTCTTCTTGTTTCTTTTTGTATGTTGATCTTCTTAATAAGGCTCAGGTTAATCACTACCATGTTCTTTTTCTATCTCTATTTCATGCAGGTGCTGTCAGTTATTTTGTTTTTGTCTTTGCTTGTGCTGCACTCTTTATACTTAACCAGAGTAGATATGTTTATTGGCTACTAGTGCATAACTCCTAGTAGTCTACTATGATGGTTTGCTTTTTCTTCTTTTCTTGTATTTTTCTAATTTCTGTTGTATCTCCTAAACTAAACAGGACACATTCTTTCTTTCTTCTATTATTACTTATAGAGGAGATAGTTATTTGGAGCAACTTGTGGTTCTGTGACTTTGTTCTTAAATCTACTTTGATACTTCTTTCTTCTTTATTCTCAAGAACTAGTTTTTTTATTTTTCTAAACCACTCTGGGGCTTTCTCTGACACTTTTTGTTTTTTACATCGCTTGATTTGGCTCCATATAAAGAGATTTTTGCCTTCTATATCTAGTATCTGTTCTAGTACTATTAGTCTTATTTCTTTTTCTTGTAAAAATCTTTTACGCTCCTTGTCTTCTAGAAAATTCACAATTTTGAGCTCTGAGTTTGCTAACTCAAGGCTAACCTTCCTCTCTACTGATTTTATACTCAGATCTAGTTCTCTTGCTGCTGCCAAAATCTTGTATGTTAGATTATACTTTAGCTGCACTTTTTCCATTCTTTCAGTATCTAACTCTAGTATACATTTTGTACTTTTACAATCAATCTGAGCCTGTTATATTTTGATTCATATTGCTTTTTCAAGCTCACTATTGCTATTTAATCATTTTCTTAATTCAGTTAAATGATGTGCTATCTGGTTCTGCCATATTGTTCTGATTCCTATTATATTTTTGTACGTCATAATTACATTCGCAGTTGTAGTTGCCAGCTCTGCCTTGTTTTTAATAACTTTTAATAGGAGGCTTTGTAGTTGATCACATTGACTTCTCGATAATATACAATACTGTATTTTATACTCTAGCCTTAGGATTAGCACTCTGTTATTTATATATACTAATTGTACTAGGGTTATACTCTTTTTATAAATTGCTTTAATTACTATCTGTATCTTCTTTTTGATAATGTCTACTATATGTAAAAGATTAGACCTTTTTGATAACCATATATCTAGGAAGTGTGAGCTCTCATTCAGCCTTCTTTCTATTATCTTCTCTTTCATTAACCCCAAATCTATTGATTTTGGTTTTTCTACTTTTTTTGCTTCTATTATTAAAAGTTCTGATTTTTTGCTATTAATACTAATATCATTTATCTTGTAGAAATCTTGTGCTATCTCTACAATCTCTTCTATTTCTTCCCTACTTGTTGTAATAAAAATTGTGTTATCTGTATACATGATTACTAAAACATGCATATGTTGTACAGATGCTTCTACACTACTAAGATCTTTGGGCCATCTAACTTCTAGCTTGTAGCCTCGTCTTCCTCTTTTTTGAATTTCTGCTAGTTAGAGGTTGTAAAAAATTCTCCATATCATAGATGAGATTACCTCTTTTTGATCTATTCCATCCCCTGCTATAGATCTTTCAGTTGTATCTAGACTCATTATAACTTCTATTTCTTGATCTTGGTAGAGATTCAATATAAAGCTTATTGTCTTTTTTAAGATTTTAATTCTTTGTAAGGCTAACTTTAGTATTTTTAAACCCACTGAGTCAAAGGCTTTTTTTATATCTTGGAAGAGAAGCTACTACTCTTTTTTCTTTTTCTTTGCCTCTTCTATGAGACAGTTTATCAAATGCACTAATGCTACCATATCTGTACCTGGAAGTTCTATAAAGTTTCTTCTTTTTAAAATTTCTTTTTTACACAGAACCTTTGCCAACCTATTCGTGAGAACCCTAATCACAGTTTTTCTAAATACTTCAAGCAGGAGTATAGGTTGTATGCTATTCAGGTTGTAGTACCAGTCTTCTGTCTTCAGTATTGGGTAGTGTTTCTAATTTCCATTTCTTAGACATTTTCCTTTCTTTAATATATCTGGATGCAAGTTTTAAAAAAATTTTTTTTGCATATTTGTTGACTTCTCTAATTAGTGAGTATGTAATGCTGGTCTTCCCAAAAGCTAATTTATTTTTTGTTTGGCTTAATGCCTGGTTCCAATCTTCTAAGCTAATATCTTTTGTAAGATCTTTGTATTATACTTTTTTGATTTCTTCTATCAGCACATATTGATTTCTTTACCTCAGTACTAACTTTTCTAGCTGTGTTGTGTTTCTTTTCTAAAATTGCTTTTCGAAGTGCTCTTTAACTTCTTTTAGCACCTTACTTGACTCCAGTGATGTAAATTGGATTGGCACTGTAGACACAGCGCATATAGATTTAAATTTGTACATATATCAGTACTCTTTGTATATATAATATGCGTATAAATTTTTCTTTATACATATTTTTTTTTGTATTTGCACTAATAAAAATTTTTTGAATTTATAATACTGCTTGGCTTGTATATTAGCTCAGTTTCTTCTTCTGTTTCTTTTATAATTCTGTCAATTTTAATTTGTTTATGAAGCCTATTTAGCAAACTATCTAGTATTTTCTGTTGGTTTTTACGATTATGCTATATTTTTTTTCTATTTTTTCACATATTTTCTTTTCTTCTAGACTTCTGATCTTTTGTCTCTATTCTTTGTGCAAAATCTTTGCCCAGTTCTTTAGATTTTCACTGCTTATCAGAACATGTTCTGTCTCTAGATTGGGGTTGAAAAGAGCTTCTACCTTAACTAGAGCTGTTGTAATTTCAGCAATTTCTTTATCTAGCAATGGCCACTTTCTGATTTTTCGAAAGCTTTTATTACATGCTTTTACTGTAAAGTGTAGTAGCTACACTTTCTCGTTTTCCCTACTTATTTGTTGTAGTCTGGGTATCTTTCTTTTTTTTGGTAGGCTCTCGTTGGCTGCTACTATGATGCAGTTTTCTATTATATCCTATTTCTCATCTATATTTATTGGCTTTTGTTTATGCTAGTTGTGCTTAAGTCTTTTGTTCAGATTTTCTCTATACTTGCACCAGTCTTCTTTTGTTGCTTTTTCGATTTCTATGTGGACCTTTGCCTATTTTGTATGTCTTATTGTGGCAGCCCATGTCTCTTTTGTACTCAACTCTGTGACTATATGTGCTCACAATATCCTGTAATCACTCATTGTGCATATATCTATGTCATTTACTTTAGCTTCAGCGATATTGTATCTTCAGCAATTTGATACTCACATGTAGACAATTCTTGATTCACAGCTCCTGCCTAACCATGTGGGTGCCTGTGCTATTTCATAGGCATCATATAAGTTTTTTTCTTGGAGCAGAGTAATTATTTTCTTCTTTGTTTGGCATTTTGTAGCTAGATTTTTTTTTCCTGCCTCTCCTGTACTCAAAGCATTTACATTTAGATCATCTATTATAATAAACTATTGAGGCTTTCTGTTTGTTTTTTCCAATACGCTTTTAACTATCTTGAGTAGTTTTTCTTGTCTCTCTTTATTGCTCAGGGATATATATAAAAGGATTATTATTATTGTCATATATTTAAAATCTAATATTAGCTTTATATAGTATGAGTTGTTCCTAGTCAGGCTAGTAATATATTGTTTCTAGTGTCTTCTAATTAATATGCCAACACCTGATCTCTTTTTCTTGTTTTCTTCGAAGCTAGCCCAGAAGCTTTTGTAGCTTTTTATATCTTTGGTTGCAAAAATACCTTCTATTTCTTCTATATTTGTTTCTACTATATCTAGTATATCAATATCCTTTTCTTCTGCATAATCTATAATTGTCCCAACTTATTCTTGTTACTTTTTATACTATTTATATTGTGAAACCCTATATTTACAAACTCATGCTGCTCATAACTTCTCTTTTGGTTCTCTGATTCTTTGTGTACTTTTATTTCTATTAGGAGTTGATTACCAGAGGTGTCTTTTTGTAACTCCCTTTCTTTCTTTTTAAACACTCTAGTTTTTCTTGTCAAAATGCTTTTGGCATCTTTTAGGAGCAGTATGCAGGGTTTACTCCTGCCAATGCTATATTTGTGCTTCTATTCTAAATCTCAAGTCTATTTAGCCTACTCATTATTTGTGCTAGCATCTCTATGATCAGGTTACCATTTTTTGATTTTCCTATTCTGTTTTTCTTAGAGGTTGTGTAGGTTTATTCTCTTTGTCCTACTCTGCTTCTTCCTGTCTTGTTCTGTCTCTGAGTCTCCTGTCTTCTCTTTTTTCTTGCAGGTCTACTCCTCTGCCTTTTTTTTGTACCAATTTTCTCTTCATATTGTGTCTTGTAAGTTTTTCTGTTATTGCTATAAGACTGTCTCTTCTTTTTTTAATTTCAAATCTCTGATCATTTCTAGCTACTTTTCTCTGGAGTTGCTTTTCTTTTTTTAGTTGTTAATTCTTCATTTCATTCTCATCATCTCACTTTCTTCGACAGGTTCCTTTTTTTCCCCTTTTGATACCCCTCTCTACTCTAATCTCTGATTTAAATATTGTGGGTTTGATCTTTGTACTTTAATCATATCCTCTTCTGTCTTGAAATATACATATGCATTTATACTTTAGTTGCTATTACTGTTTTCTCGAATATGTACTACTTGTGCTTTGTAACATTTTAATTGCCAAAGAAGCAGACTTTCTAGCATAGTTGATGGGATGTTGCCAATATTGTATCTAAACCTGTTTTTTTTTTTCAATATATCTTTGTCAAATTCTCCTAAAGTAATTCTATATATTTTTTTCAAGCCTAGTGTTACTGACTAGGCTTCTTGTAGATGTTGACTTCATTTCTTCTTACCTTCTTCTAAGATACTAATATATACAGCTTTTGCATACTGGTTTTCTTTCTATGCTATGACTTTTATCTTGCCATAGCTTCTTATATATTCTTTTATATTTTTTGTATCTATATATTTGGGGAGGTCCCATATTGTATAATAATGCTGTGTTGTATCAGTATTGTTGTGTGACATGTGCTTTTCTCTTGGCACCCATATTGAGTTGCAGATATCTTCTTGTCTCTTGTGTCTTTTGTTGTTTCTTCTTCTCTTTAGATGGTTCTTGTTTTTGGCTTGTTTCTCCAATGTTTTTTCTACTCTAAAATCAAGGACCTCTACTTCACAATTTGACAGGATATCTTTTCTTTCTTCTGGGTCTATTTCTGCTAAAATCATATTACTTTCATGATCATTGAGTCTTTTCTTTCATTGTTTAGTTTGGCTCTTACCTACACTTTAATCATTCTGCTTGTTTGTATCGGCCTTTCTTGATGCAGTATAACAGAAATCCATCATGACCAGGTCTGTTTTGTCTTTGTTGTGAGTGCCTAAACACATTTCTATATCTGTGTCTTGCTCTAGCAAGTCTTTCTTCTCTTTGGACAGATCTGTCTTTCTGGCCTTTTTGTAGTTGACTCATTTGTATTGTTCTATTATAGATCAGATTACTGCTATTAGATGTGTATTACTTGTCTTAAGATATTCTGCTATAAGAATATCCTCTTTGCAGATTGTAGCATGCTATTTGCAGTATACCTGTTTTCTTTCTGCTTCTGTTTTTTTAAAAAAGCCTTTGCATTTTTCAAGTGATACTATTTGTTACATGTTCTGTATACTAGACTGCTTTTTATAGTATGTTCTTTGCCTGTTTTGTGGCTTGGCTTTGTAGCTTGTGATGTGTTTCTTGATGTTTCTAAACATGTTTTTACATGTTTTTCTTTTGTACTCTAAAGTATGCATCTAGATCTTAACATGTGTTGTACTTGTATTTTACAAAGAATCTGTACTAGCAAGTTATTGATGTTTTCCCATTTGTTGTAGTGAAATGGGAAATTGTTCTTTACTACTTTGAAAGTTGCTTGTACCTTCTTTTTACAGTATATATTCGCAATAGTGTAGGTCTCTCTATTTTAGTATGTCTTTAGTTGTGTGTTTTTGATACTTGTGTAGTACTGTACTTGTTTTTCTGAAGTTCTTTTGTCTATTGTTTTTTTTTTTTTTTGTATTAAGGTAATCTCTATGGCTTAGAGACTTTTTATTAAATGCAATATATGTTTTATAATTACAACGAGAGTACATCAAGCCACATGTGCACTTTTGATGCCTAATTTAAGTAGATTACCTGAAGGTTCTACACTATCTGCCATACCTGCATCTCAACTAAAAGGATACCTATTTAAACTCTTTGGTTACAATTACTATTTGCTATACCTAACCCTGGGTATTACTTACTATATATATATGAGTTTTGCATCTACTCAATTGGATTTTGCACCTACCTTAGGACTTACTAATCTATTTTGGCTAATCTATCTATGAGGTAAACCTAACAGAATGATCCATGTCTCATACATGTATTCATCTGCATATTTGGTAACTTCTTTCTAACTAGTACCTGCTATGCTGCTACACTGTGTTCGTATTTCACACTATCTTTTAGAATGCTGCTAATCTATAGCTACTCAAGCCACAACTTTCCTAATTAGTTACTTATTATGTACTTCTTGCACTTGTAAGGTTTACACAACCCCAGTACCCACATTCAAACTTTTTTTCTTTCTCAAATTCTTTACTAGTCTCTCTCTTGCTTCTAGCCGGCAACTCGAAAAGGTCAGTCTGCCCAGGCTTTAAGTGCTTTACGATCTTTCTTCCCTTGGTACATGCTTCCAGAGCATATATCCTTTTCCTCCAGTTGGTGGTCCAGCGGTTTGGCTAGTATGTTCTCCTACTAAAAGACCTGGTTGCTCGGTTCTCCAATTTCAGTTTCTGGTTCCAAATTCGGTTTTTCTGTAGCACTATCAAAAGTCATGCTACCTCCCAACTCGTGACTTGCCAAATAGGTTTTCAGTAATTCTAGTTTTCTGGATTTATTGCACTAAAGCTCCCATTTGAGATGGTGTAATCAAGATTACAGATGTCTGAATCCAACCAATAATCTTAACATTAACCAATACAGATCTAGTTTTTTCAAAATCATCATCTATGGAATTCGAACTCTAGACCTGCCATTTGAAGATGTGACAACTCTACCACTTCACTAAGTCACCACACTCACAGTTCTTTTGTCTATTGTTAAACTACCGATCGAGTATACTCTATATGTTTTACGTTTGCTCAGTTTGGTTTTGACTATTTGGTACATTGTTTCGTTGCTTGTAGCTTATATTTATACTCTTCTTTGGCTTCTATTACTGTTCTTGTTGTTATAAAGTATGTCAAAGCTATTTTTTTTTCCTGCTTTTTCCTATACCAAATGATCGTCAAATAGAGTGATACATAAATTGATAATCTTTACAATTTTTTAATCTAGTATACAGGCTTAATAGTTTATATTCTTTGTTTTTGTTTTTGTTTTACTTTTTTTGTTGTTGGTTTTTATCTTCTTCTATTTACAATTAAATATAATTTAGAAATTTGGTTTTTTTTCTTTTTTTCTTTTGTTTTATTTTTTTTTATTTTTTTTCTTTCTGAATTTGTAGCTTTTTTTTATAAAATTGGTATTTATTTTCTTTTTTATAAAAATATAAGAGATAAACTATTCTGCCTAGATCTAGATAGAAAAGGTTTTAAAAGCTATAAATAGCTAAGTACCATGCTATAGCAATTTTTTAAATACATGTAGCAGTGTATGTAAATTTTGTTAGCAAACACTAGTGTAATAACTATATTTGGACACTTTTAGAGTAGCTAGATATTAGCCAATTATAAGTATTAGTTTAGTTTTTGTAAACTCATATATATCTAATAAATCTATACTAAGTTATTAAAATAAAAAAAAAAAAAATCTCTACAATTATAACAAGCTATAATATATAATAAACAGACTAATAGTTGGTCAGATAATTAGAAATAGATGTTTAATATCTTTTATATCTTTTATATCTTTTATACTTTTTATATTTTTTATACTATTATACCTTTTATGAGGTGTGGCGACCTAGTGTAGTGGTCTAGTCATCACCCTCTCCAAGTGGCAGGTCTAGAGTTCAAATCCCACGGATGACGAATTTTGAAAAATAGCCTGTGCTATGGTTTATGGTTGTCGATTATCGGTTGGATCTAGAAATCTGTAATCTTGGTCATACCATCTAGTTATGGGAGCTTTGGCGCAATAAATCTGAGGAACCGGAATAACTGAAAACCCATTTAGCAAGTCCCGAGTTTGGAGGTAGTAGTAATCTACGACGGTACTACAGGAGGGCTAAATTCGAACTGGGCCCAAAATCGGAGAACTGAGCGACAGGTCCTTGGCAGAGGACACACCAGCCAAACCACCAGGTTGTCGCACCAGAGGAAAAGGACATATGCTTCGAAAGTATAGACCAAGGGGAGGGCATCCTTCAGGCACCTAAAGCCTGTGCAGACCAACCCTTCTGGGTTGCCGGCTGGAAGTAAGGGAGGGACTGGTAAAGAATCCGGGTAAGAAGACAGTCTAAATGTGGGGTACTGGGGTTGCTAGGAACCAAAACAAGGGCAGGAGTACGTAATGGGCACCTAATTAGGAAGG